TTAGGTATTAGCTTATATTGGATTTTTCATTATCCAATTATCCATGAAAGTGTGCAAGGCCCTTTCCTCAGTGTATTGGACCTCAGTACACTCTGACAATCTGCTACCATGGCTGCTGAAATGCAATAGTGCCCCGTGTTTATTGCAGAGATGAGCAGTTACACCCTGATGCAGGTTATTCACTTTGAAAATATTCTTAACATCTCTTCTTATAACACCTCTGTTTATTCCTATATGCCGAACTTTATTTTTCCCCATCAAACTGTACATTTCACCTCTTTCTCCAGGGTCTAATTTAGTAGACTTTAATTTAGAGACTTCTTGCCCCATCCACACCTTCTTCACAACCTGCCAGATCTATAAACTGAGAATTGTTTTTGACTTTCTTATGACTTACTTAAGACATTGTAATTTTCATTTTGTGATTTTTTGTTTCAAAAATATTGATGTCATTTTACAAATGGCCTATAACTTTTGATAATCAGAAATATATTTGCTAATATTATGAAAAGAATATATATATATACATATATATCATATATGGGGCTGTGTATATGTGTCTCAGTGATAAAATGTCAACTCAAGGCTCTGAGTTGAAAAAGATCTGGAAAATTATGTTCAAAAAGTTAAAAAATCTGGACTATTCTTAACTATTTCCATTAACTTCCCATTTCCAAAATGGTTTATTTAAAGGACAAAGTAATTTTATAATTTTTACCATAATACACAGAATACTTTTCATCTCTGCTGAAATTCGCTCAAAAACACTGCATATGAGTTATAAACAATATGCATGTGCATTGTATGCATATATAATATACACACATCATATGTATCTCTATATACATATATGAGAGACAAAGAGAGAAAGAAAAGAGGAGAGGAGAGGAGAGAGAGAGAGAGAGAGAGAGAGAGAGAGAGAGAGAGAGAGAGAGAGAGAGAGAGAGAGAGAGAGAGAGAGAAGAGAGAGAGAGAGAGACTGGTCTATGTAGCAATTTCCAGCCCACCCAAGGTTACTTAGACTTTGTCTCACAAAAACAAAACACACATACACACACACATTCTTATAAGACAGTGGTTGTCAGAAATAAACTCAGTCTTGATATTTCTTGTACTACTTAATACTGTCAAACGTTTTCTAGAAATTTGAAATGACGGTGTTACATATCCTTGTGAATTTTCCAGGTATGTTGTTACTGTAAAAAGCAAACTCAAGACCTCATCAACACTTCAGCTGAAAAAGTTTTTTTCTTCTTAACAATATTCAAACCATTTTTTCTGCTTCAAAGATTTCAGAAAAAATGACTCTCAATTATAGATGGCTTGATTCCTTAGAAAAGTACACATCTATAAAACTTAGTAGCGTATGTTAAAACTTCAAAGTTAAACTCAAAGGTAATATTTGTTACATAAACTCTGGAAAATAAAGTGAAAATACATTTTATTACTGTCCTATAGTTATAAATGTACATGGCAATTCTCATCTGCTCTCTATCAAACCATACATTTGTTATTTATGAAATATAAAACACACCTTTCAAATTCTTATGCATGGAATAAATCATCCTATAATTACTTTGTATAGCTCTGCTGCCTTTGGGGAGATTTACCTGTCTGTCTTAGAGACAGGTAATGAAGGTAACCTGTATGAATTATAGAATAATGGTCATGTAGCTGGAAAGGTAGCAATGTGAGCTGGCATGAGTTACTAGTGTGGGTGACATCCATCATTGACTTAGCAGATGTCTGTCAAAATAGCACCAGGTTAAAACTGAAAAAAAAAAAAACAAAAACAAAAAACAAAACTGCTTGAGTTGGGAGAAAAAGGCAAAATTTTAATGGTGTATACTAGGTCTTACTCTCAAGCTGTCATGAAATTCTAGAATATTCGAATATGCTGTCCAGAGAGAGATTCCGGCAGGATGCATTGAGATTTTATATACTATGCTTTGAGAGACTCCTTTCTCCTTCTAAGGCTCCACTCTGAAAAGCCCCTTAGAGGGAAACTATATTAGCTGCCCTGGTTCCAGATAGAACTACTCTGTCCTTATTCTGACTGTAGTTGTTCTTCAGAGATTACTTCTGAGTGAATCCCCTTCTCATGGACATCATGTATTCACCAGAGTCCAGAATCTACAAACTAAAAAAGAATAATAAGCTTACTTTTTCATATCAGTTTTCTTTCTAATTTGATTATCCTGTCAACCTGACCAAATGGTGCCCAGAAATTATCCAAAGAATTTAAATTTGTATGAGAAGGTAATATTAAATGAGTATGAAATATAATCTAAATAAAAGTATGAGATAATAGTTTAAGTTTGTTTAAATCATCATATGGTTTAATATTTTTCCTCAGTTTGAGTCTGTGAAGAACATTAAAAATTCCAAGTGTCAGGACATTGTCATGACTGCACACACGATACTTTCACTGTAGAATTAACTCCCCCAATTCCCACACTATGCAGATCACATCAGGCCACTCTGTTATTTTAATAAGTCCTTGGATACCTCTTAGTGGATTGGCTAAGAAACTGATGGTTTTAAACTAGTTGCAGTAGCCTGAAACAATGGAGTTGGCTAGCAATACAGGTTGTTCCTACATGGTTCTAGCTGCCCTTTGAAGAATCAGTATGTCTATGGGGTATGATATACACATTATTTTGTAATGGAGAAACAACAAGATCTCCCATGTAGCACATTCTTGTCAACATGTGCAATTTTCGTATCAAACAAGGGAGGTGACCATGGTGATGAAAAAGAATGACATGGAGCAAGGGTCCTTGGCATGTAATTCATTCCTATGCACTTATGTGTGTCTATGAACTGTCTGACAGATTTTTTTTTCTGAGGAGTTGAGACATACATATGTTAACTTATCCCAAAAAAAGAGAGCACCTGAAGACCAAAATAATGATTCTAACAATGCCAAATTTGGTGGACCACTGAATTTTTCTATCGAGCTTACTACTAACAAGGGTTTGGATGAGTGGTTACAAGAAGTGGCAATTACACAAAAAGCAACTGTCACACCAGAGAGCTCACCACCAAATGGGTGAATTCTTCTGAAACTGCAACTCTGAAGCTTCCTATACTATCAGCTGCTCCACAGTGTGAATGTCTTTTCTCTGTTTTACTGATGTGAGTCTTCATTCCCATAACTGTTTACTTTCATTTACACTATCAGAATAAGCCCTCAATAATCTTTTAAGTTTTATTTTTTCCTTTTCACTTGTGACTTCTGGTGACCTTTAGTTTATCTACAGATGCTCATTAGCCTCCCTTTTTCTCCTGGAGCAAATATTGCCGTTCCTAGAGAATGTTGCAATTAAAAGGAACATGCCATACAATTCTATATACATACATGCATTCACATCTATACACCAAGGAATATGTACCCTCACAACATTTTAGAATTTTAATTTTAAAAAGGAAAGATATCATATAACTTTTTATGATTTCTAAACTACTTTAAAAATCCAGCTGATAGGATAGAAAACTGGAGAGTGGATTGAAGCTATTTAAATCATAAAATTTATTTAACTATATCAAATATTTTTATTCTAGCACTGATAATATCAGAGGCAAAAAGATATTATATTGAGTTCATTAATAAACTAAGTAACAAAATTGTGTACTAATCTTTCTCCAAAAATTTCTAATAAAAATTTTACCTAAATAAGTTAAGCTAAATATCATTTCTTCTGAAATTGGACTCTAATATCTTTATGCATCTCAATACTGCTTATTGCAATATAGAAAATACTAAACAATAGTTAAAATAAAATTAGGAAATTTATATTTATGTTTTTGTAGAAAACAATTTTTTGTAATTAGTTTTAATATATAATATAAATATTATATATTTAGGAACTCAGGGAAAATTATGTGCTTAGAGAGTTTTGAGGAACTGGACAAGAAGGCAGAGGGTGAAAGATTTTGGACAATAGCATATTTGAGCAATGAGATTGAAGCAGGACCAATAGCATATAAATTCTCACTTTACCAATTCTCAGGCATCTTTGCAACTTCAAAAAGTCTATTTTAAATAAGATGAGGCCATATGGCAACTAAAAAGAAATATACCAGAAGGGTTGATGGGTAAAAAATGTTAAAGGAATGAACTGTTTGATAAAATACAATTCAGCCCAGCTAGGTTCATATAAAATTAGATAAATTGTAAGCAATTCCTGCTAGGGAGAGTGACATTATTAGTATTTATACTATAAGCTTGTATTAATTAAAATAATTTTAGCTATATCTCTCCTTAATAATAACATCAAAGCTTCCTAAAAACTTCACCACTATTTTAAATTCACATTTTTTCAAAGCTCTTGGACATATCTTTTCTGCAAACATCCATTATAGAGCAAATGCAGCATTTCACTGAACTGAATCTTTAAAAGGCAATAAGCCAAGTCATACGTCACACTGCACAGGGATTGCTCCATGAAAAAATACTGCAGTTTCGAACGACAAACTGCTTGTGTCTCCATAATGTCAGAGTATTTTATGAACTAGCATGCTAAAATTCAATCTAAACTATATTGACTTATAGTACTGAGACTCCATGAAATCAACGCATTGCTCAAAGTTCTGTTTTTTGTCTGGGTAGCTGCTCTTGGGTGAGCTTTCTCATGGCAGTGTTGCTATTACACAAGGAAATGCTTCACAGCTAAACATTGCCAAACCCAGAATACAAGTCACATGCTGATTCTGAACACCTCCCAGGTTTGTTTACTAAATTCTCAAAGTTTGAACAAAACCCTAAGATACCTCAGACCACCTCGAAACAAACTCCAGACAAAGACAAGATAGCTAAACTCCAAAACATCTGTTTCTACAGCATACCAGCATGCTTAACTTCTTACAAAGCGTTCCCCGCACATTCTCATTACAATATGCCAACCTATTCAGACTTCCGTGTGGATTCATCTGTCTGAGTCATTGTCTGTGAAGCAACTCAATTTCCTCAAGCTGTAGATGGGCCTGAAATTGCTTACCTGACTCACAAGCAAATGTCTTTGACGTTTCGTCATGAAAGATAATTGCCACTGCATGCTTCTTTGTCTCTCGAGGCAGTCTGGTAATATTTTTGATGTTGTGCAGTTCAGTTACCTTGAAAGAGAAGAATATTTTTTCTTTTTACTTTTGAAATTCTGGGGACAGGCCCCCAGAGCCTTGTATGTGCTAAGCAAACATTCTATCACTGGAAAAAAATTATTTTAATATATGGTACATGTGCTACATTACAATGTTTTAAAGAAAATGGTCAATTATCACTACCTTATGCCCTTAAGGTCACTGTACTAAGCTTGAATTGACTCTATCCACCACCAGTAAAGACCGAAACATAAAGTCTTCTAGTAGGTCTCCAGTTTTAGCCATCACTCATATTGGCTGCTGTCTTTGAAATACTCTAGTGATCATACAGAATAGCTTCATGGGGGCTGTGCTGTTATTAAACTTTTATCTGCATAAAGCAATAACAATTTGGTACAAAGAGAGTTCTCATTAAATATGTTTTGAATATTGATGAGATTTAGCAAGAAGTCTCCCCTCTAACACCTTACAAGTTCCAGATAAGACTGGATCACACAGCATCTGACAGCTGCCAATGGAATAAATCACAATTTTAACATTTCAAGCTTCCAGAGAAAGAATATATTTTTAAAAATTGTGTACCAATAATTTTCACAAGAGTAATTCCAAGAGCAGTGAAGGACTTGAGAATGAAATTTCAGCCCAAAGTGGGGTATTGATGCATGCTGAACTTTTTTCATGATGCTTTTGTTGTTTATTAATAAATCTTGTTACTTGATAGTTTTTCACACGTACATAGTGCATTCTGATTACTCTTCCACCTCTACTGTATTTTAATAACCACATTACCAGTGTAGAAATGGGTCTTTCCCTCTTTAGAATTGTCAGCATGTGTAGGATCTATCTTGAACTTGATTTTAAAACATTGATGACATGCTAATAAGCTGATACTTTCTTCATCACTGTATAAAAGGAAAGAAACTTGATGATCAGAGGATATAGCAATCCAGTACTAGATAGCCTGGTAAACAGGTGAACCACATCTGGTTCTAATGCCCAGATTCCTGACTTCTCTAGAGATTGGTCTCTAGCGCTGGATCAATATAAGGAGTATCTTCTTGGATAAAGACCTATTCTTTGAGTTAGTTGTATAAAAAACAGTTTTCACTTTTTTATACATGTTTCAACTGTTTTGAAGAAAATTAATGAAAGGAAAAAACTCAATTCCATTTATAACTTAGAATACATTAAGCCCAATAGATTATTTTAGAACTGTTAAATTTAGAGCTATTGATATCAGTCGTGTAGTGCTTTAGGTATAATGTATATATATATATATATATATATATATTTCAAGATTTCACCCTCATATTTGAAGGTAGCCATAGTAATATTGATTAGGATTCCTCAGTATAGCTGAAGTTAAAGTGATCAATACCTGACCAAAGCCTGCAATTATATCATATAAAAATGACATGTACAAAATAAAAGTATGTAGTTATTATTTTAAAAGAGTTGTTCTCTACTTTTCATGGATTTTTAAAAAGATTTTCAAGGGCAGAGAATTTCAATACCACACGTAACTCATGGTCTGTCATACCTACAGAATTCTCATAAATCATTATTCATATTTTTCTCTTTACTTGCAGTCATATTAAGATTAACATGCATCATATAAATAATACAAATAGTTATTTCAGGTATGATAAAGTTGTCTTTATGTAAAAGCATGTATTTCTATGTATACATACACAGTACATCATCTACTTATAAATCTTCTACCTATTTAACATCTATCTGAAAGTTTCTTTTCCATGTGAGAAGAACTGTATACAAATATGTTATAATTTCTGAGGAATGACAGTTTTTGGAGAGATAAAAATTCTTTTTTATGAAACAGTGATAAACATATTTTGATTGCACACCAAAGTGTATTATCAAATAAAATATAACTCTTGAATTTTAAAAGATGTTTAAACCCAATTTTATTTTAAGGCAATAGATTAAAGTTATTTTTGAAAAGAGATTATTTCTAAATATTTCTAGCTTTTCCTAAACAAATAATATTATCAAAACTGAGTCTAAAAGCAATGATGAATTTGTGTTGCTTAAGAATTAGTATAAAATGTAAATATATAGACCAGAATCTGCTAGAGTGTTATGTAAAATGTCTTACATGTACTAAACAAATAATTAAAAAAAACTATTGTTAGGAGACATTCACAGATACTTTTATTTACAAATGTAGAATAATACCGGGAAAGATATTATGGACTTTATATTTTTGGTTGTCATAACAAAAATCAACAAATTTAAGTCTTGGACAGATTTGAAAAACTGTCCTGGGTACCAAGGAATGCTTATCATCAGCGCCTCAGGCAATCTGAGAGCTGATGCAGCTCAAACAAAGGGCTTGCTCTACTGAAAAATTTACATTTAGAAATGCAGAGATCCTTTGCAAGGAGACCCCAGGCCTAAGGCTTTTGAGTAAATCAGGGCTTTGGTTGTTGATAGCAGTGTGATGTTTTAGCCTCTTTAGCTTAAGAATTTTAAAAGATGATAAGAAAGCACTGATAAGGAATATAAAATTCTGCTTTCTAAAGGGTTTTCAATCCCAAATATTTAGGTTTGAAACACCTGCATTCATTTTTCGCTATCAATATTATCTGGATTTACCATATTGTGTTCAACTGTAATGACTTAAAGGAGGACAACTTTTAAAATAATTTGTACTGCATTAAAGCAAAATGTTTCTTACTATTTTAAAACCTGACAATGCAACATAAAAATTATGAACAGTCTGTAAATTTCTGAAATCTTGAATTTTTCCAATACTAAAATCAGTATTATTTTCATTATTTAAAATTTCTTATGTATTTCTGTAAGTTGATTTTATTTTTAAATTTCTAGAAAGGGCATAATATGTTGATCACATTTTAATCAAAGAATTAAAGTAAATTACTTTAAATAAACTAAGCTAACTTGTAACTGAAAATAATTTAAGTTAATTAGGTCTGAAAAGATGTAATGATGAGCAGCTTGAGATACTTAGGTTTGCCAAGTGCCAAAGCCAACACTTTAATATGAACATATGAACGTGCAGGTTTTTTATGCTAGCTGGTGCTATATTATTTTTATTTGGTTGTTATACCTTAAGTAATTCATTGGCTTATATATACATATGTCAAAAATAAAAATAACTCTTTTCTCTAGGAATATAGAAGACAGTGCATACTACTCTTAAAGAAGACACAATATTGGCTACGAGAACCCACATTAGATGGGTCATAACCTCTGATAATTCCAGCTTCTGGGTACTCTGCCCATGTGCAAACACACACACACAATAAAATCTTTTTAAATTTAATTTAATTTTTTAAGAAAGAAAGCAAACTATCTTTTTTCTTTTTTATTATTTTATTTATTTAGGATTTCTGCCTCCTCCCCTCCACCGCCTCCCATATCCCTCCCCCTCCCCCAATCAAGTTCTCCTCCCTCACCAGCCAGAAGAGCAGTTCGGTTCCCGGCCTTGTGGGAAGTCCAAGGACCACCCACCTCCATCCAGTTCTAGTAAAGTGAGCATCCAAACTGCCTAGGCTCCTACAAAGCCAGTACATACAGTAGGATCAAAACCCAGTGTCCTTGTTCTTGACTTCTCAGCAGTCCTCATTGTCTGCTATGTTCAGTGAGTCCGATTTTATCCCATGCTTTTTCAGACCCAGTTCAGCTGGCCTTGCTGAGTTCCCGATAGATCATCCCCAATGTCTCAGTATGTGGGTGCAACCCTCGCGGTCCTGAGTTCCTTGCTCGTGTATCCTTTTTCATTATACATACCAATTCAAGTTCCTACTCCCTCCCCTCCTCCCATTTCCTCCATTTACTCCCCCACCTCCTATCCAGTCCTCTGAGAAGGCAAGGCACATTGCTTTGGGGAAGGTCCAAGCCCTCCCTAGTATATCTAAGCTGAGCAAGGTATCCATCCAAGGAGAATAGGTTCCCAAAAAGCCAGCACATGCAGTAGGGATAAATCCTGGTGCCAAAGCCAGTGGCCCATCAGTCTCTGCCTCAGCCATGTAACTGTCAAACACAGTCAGGAGGACTACTTTGGTCCTATGCTTGTTCCTTCCTAGTCCAGCTGGAGTTGGTGAGTTCCCATTAGCTCAGGTAGACTGTTTCAGTGAGTGTACCCACCATGGTCTTGACCTCTTTGCTCATATTCTTATTCTTCCCAATCTTCAACCAGACTTTGGGAGGTCAGTCCAGTGCTCTGCTGCGGGTTTCTGCCTCTGTTTCCATCAGTTGAAGGGTGAAGGTTCATAATCATCATTTTGGGTCTGGGTTACCAAACTCTGGATGGCGTTTTTAGTTCCATCGTTTTGCATGCAAAATTCAAGATGTCATTGTCTTTTACTGCTGAATAGTACTCTAATGTGTAAACGTGCCACATTTTCTTTATCCACTCTTCGGTTTGAAAGGCATCTAAGTTGTTTCTAGGTTCTGACTATTACAAATAATGCTGCTATGTATATAGTTGAATATATGTTTTTGTAAATGTAACCCCAGTAGCGTAGACACTGAGAGCAACAATAAATACATGGGACCTCCTAAAACAGAGAAGCTTCTGTAAAGAAAAGGACATAATCAATAAAAAAAAAGGCAGCCTACTGAATAGGAAAAGATCTTCACCAATCCCACATCAGACAAAGACAAAGGACTGATCTCCAAAATATATAAAGAACTCAAGAAATTAGACATCAAAATTCCAAATAACCCAATTAAAAAATGGGGTACAGAACTAAACAGAGAATCTCAATAGAAGAATCTCAAAGGGTCGAAAGACAATTAAGGAAATGTTCAACATCTTTAGCCATCAGGGAAATGCAAATCTAAACAACTCTGAGATACACCTGCCAGAATGGCTAAATTCAAAAACACCAATGATAGCTTGTGCTGGAGAGGATGTGAAGTAAGGGGAACACTCGTCCATTGTTGGTAGGAATGCAAACTTGTAAAACCACTATGGAAATCAGTATGGTGGTTTCTCAAAACAATTGGGAATCAACCTACCTCAGGAT